ATGCACAGAAGTGGAACGCAATCTCATTCTTATTTCATTTTTGGTTTATAAAAACTGTGTTGTTATTTTGTAAAACTGGTTTTATAAAATTGAATAGATATGCGATTGCTTCTGGTGCGTTGAAAGATGGTTAATATACTATAATCACAAACTCTTAAGATTTGCAGGATGTAGAAACTAATGTTGTATCTTCTAGATTGAATGTTAAGAGAAAAATTGCTATTCCTGACTCATTGTATTTTTAATGTCTATTTTTTGGGTTGTTATCAATCAAAATAAGATTCAAAGATTGGTCAAAGAAGGTTAATTACCTAGTGAGGCAGGGGAGCCTAAACCAAACTTGTGAACCCTGTTTTGAAGGATAGATAACTCTTAGGGCTTAATCAACCAGATGAAATAGACATAAAGGACAATTGGAGTCGGTACAGACTGACACGTGTGGTCTTATGAACATCCAAACAAGATTACTCACGTTTTGGATAAATTTACCTGTTGCGACACAAGTCTTATACTTTTGGTATATTCCGAGAGGATCAAGACTGATGTAGAGCACAGATTAGGTAAACTTATCAAGACACTTCGATCTGATCGAGGATATGAGTATTTCTTGGGATAGTGCAAAGACTATATGGTCAATGAGGGTGTTGTGTACCAGTTTTCCGCAATTGACACTAAATTAATTTAGGTGTCAAATAGGAATAACATAATTCCACTTAACATGGTTAGATCTATGATCAGTTAAGCCACATTATCTCTTTTATTTAAGAGTTTAGCGTTAATGACATCGATGCGCATTATGAACTGCATTCCATCTTAGTCTGTCTCAAGGATACCGTTGAGCTGTGTTTTTGACTAAATCTTAGTTTGAATCACATGCACATATGGGGTAGTCTTGCAAATGTACGCTTGATATGGACAAGTAAGTTGGAAACAAATCATATGCATGATAGATTTGATAGCTACTCTAAAATGTCACTAGGACGGATTATTTTATGATCTCAAAGATAAAAGTTGATTGTTTTCACTCACTGTTTATCTATAAGAGAATCATATTATGAATCACATATCTAGTAGCATAATGTTAGAGAATTTGGTATGAGTACCAGATGTACCACATGTGAACACACTTATTATAGAGATTGAGAATAATATATGAATTCCCTATTGATGCGTTAGCATCATCTACTACACAGATTCTTGCATCGGTACATTGATGTAGTGGGAGGATTATCATCCAATTCGACAGAATCATGTTTTTAGGTGAGACCATTATGGACATCCCTGTTAAACATGAGTTGAACCCAGTAAGCTACACGGAAGCGTGAACCGATATGGATACAGATCGTTTTGGCGAGTTACTATGAAATCAGAGTTGGAATCTATGTATACTAATTAAATCTGGGATCTTGTAGAACTTTCTAGTAGGGTGATACCTATGGAAGGCAAGTTAATCTACAAAAGGATATCAGAAGATTTCTTAGTGAATAAATCATAAGTGTACAAGGGAATGTCATTATTTTTCTAATTCTATATATATTGATGACATCCTACTCATTTAGAATGATGTGGAAGTTTTGTCATCAATAAAGAGGTAGTTGTTCAATTACTTTTAAATGAAGGATTTTCAGGATGTAAGCTAGATTCCTAGGATCAAGCTTTTGCAAGATCAGGTTAAAAGGAAAATAGGCTTATCTTAATAATCCTACATTGATAAAGTTTTGACCAGGTTTGGTATGCATAACTCAAATAATGAGTTCTTGCTTTATTGATATGGATGGCTCTCTCTAGTAAGTAGTTTTTCAAGACTATTAAAGGAGATTGAGCAAATGAGACTGGAACAATATGCTTCGGTATATGAGAGTCTCATATATGCCATGGTCTATACCCAAACAGGACATCCGCTACATAGTAGGGATAGTCAGTAGAGATCAGTCCAATACTGGACTTGATAACTGGTCTGTTGTGAAAAATATCATTAAGTACCTAAGAAGGACCAAGGATATCATAATCATTTATGGATGTGATGATATGGCCCTAGTCAGGTATGTTAGTTCTGATTTTTAATCAAAAGTAGATACTATGAGGTTCATGACTTAGTGTATGTTCACTTAATGGAATGAAAATCAGTTGGTAGATTGTTAAGCAAATTTCAACTGCTGACTTAAACCTGCAGGTGGAATACATTGCAGCCTTAAAGGCGGCAAAATAAGCCTATTGGTTTGATCTCACTGATTTAGAGGTTGTGGAGCATACTAGCCTGCCTATCGAGCTATATTGCGACAATAGTGTAGAAGTAGTCCAAACCAATGACCCAAGGTTCCATAAATGAACAAAATACACTGATAGGAAGTATCATGTTCTACATGATATTGTCCGACAGGAAAATGTACTTGTGGCTAGAACATTGCATTGGAACACAACTTTGTTGATCCATTAACAAAGGTGTCATCGATCAATAGTTTTGATCAACACCTGGATAACATTGGAGTTAGATGCAATTTGAATTGGCTATGAGGGCAAGTGGGAGCTGTTGGGATTTATATGCCCTGGCATAGCAAATTCCTATCTGGATTATAGTGACATATGTTCCTGACATATCTGAAATATTTATGATTTATATAATTGGTGAATTCAATGTATTATGTTTCGATTCACTATGAAATTGATAGTGTCCATGTAATTACAAGAAATATTTATATATATGTATTTGATGGCAATCAATGCATGATATATAAATAGTAATTATAAATTGTTCATAGTCGGTAATTATCGATGGACTCATAATTAATTAAGACTTGAACTGGATCCGCGTTAGGTTGACATATATTGCGAGAGCCGTCGTATGCAATTACTCCCTATCACGGTCATGGCATTTGACTCTTAAGCATGAGAAAAGTATAGACTCTTTTATTAATTAATAATTACTTTGATTTGTTCGGCGGATTCTTCGGGATCCTTAGACCGACACTTTGGTTAGTTATGTAATTAATAGTTAGAGGGTTATATTTTCAATATTTGCATCATTGCTACTTGTATTTATTTTGTATTGATTATGGTTGATCACAAAGTAAATTCGAAGGCCTTCGTGTGTTTTTAGACAAAATGATTTATTATATATTTATTTATTTAAATTATTATTTTTGTCAAACAAATGTTTTATTGTGATCGAGCCAGAAATAATCAGAGGTACCAAAATAGATATATTAATTAAGTAGTCGGATTAATGGCTTTATTTATCCGATAACTAATTATGCATAGAGGGGTCAAAGTGCAATATTGACTTAGAGGTTATTTATTATTTAATTAGAGTTCAATTAATTTCTTTTAGTGGAGTAGAAATTAATTTATGAATTAATTGAATTGGGTCCCTGGACCGGGCCAATTATTAATTCATTGTAGCCAATAAAATAATAGGCCCAATGGATTCTCACTCATAGCCCAACTTGATATTGGAATCATATTAGATTTGAGACATATGAATTAGAGATGGAGAAGAATTTGTTGTTTCCTTTTCTTTATTTTTATGTTGCCTATAAATATACATGGTCTATGTATATTTTAGGGAGTGATTTTTAATGAGAAGGAAAAAGGAATTTATTTTCTCTCTGTAGAAAATTAGGGTTTATGTTCTCATCTAATGGAGGCTCCCACAAGCCTAGTTTTCCAAGGTCATTCATGGAGGCTTATGAGTGATTCCTAAAGGCAAAACAATTACCAAGAAGATGGAGATCCAAGAAGAAGGCATCTTGCTAAGGGATCTACAATAAGTGAGAACATTCACTTTAGAGGAAAGTTTTAAAGGTTTATTCAGACCTTTGATGTAAGTATTCAATCTGTTAATTGAATGATACATCATATTTTTATTTTTGCATAAAACTTGTCTCTACGTAATGAATCAAGATTTATGAATCAAAATCTCTCGAAATTTTTTTAAAATTAGCACGTTTCCCAAGAATAACACCTTTGCAACTATGTACCGGCTAACGGACATACCTTAAACCCTTCAAATTTTGGATTTAATGATAATGGAAACGACTTGATGTGCATATTTGTATTGAGAGTTGACAAAAGTAAAATTATATTTGAGATTTTTAGTACTATACTTATCATAGGTAAGATAAACTATTTTTTATACTATTAAAACCCTGGATTCAATGTAATTGTTTGTGTAAAATTTAATTAATACACATATTATACAAAGCTGGATTGACGGCGTTAAAAACTGATAGTGTGAAAAAAAAAAAAAAAAAAAAAAAAAAAACTAAACTAATTGTCAATTGCATAATAACAAAATATATTCATTGCTGGTGTTTACAAGCTAGAAATTTTAACGATTAAATCTGTACTTATGCTGGAGTTTTAAGGGTAAGAATAACATTCAAAATTTTAAAATGCAATTATAATTAGTTACAGTAAATTGATAGATCTATTTTTTTAATTGATCAATTATATAATAAATAAAGAAGTAGAGCCCTCTACTCAATTGTATTTGATATAAATAGTCAATTAAAAATTATTCGGTTAGACAATTCACTATTTGGTATGAGTTTACTCTTATAATTATTACCCAATACATTTAAAAAAAATTTAAAATCAAAACACTTTTTAAGTGATTCAATATAAATTTCAAGCGCAAATATGTTAATAGCCTAATGGATTAGTGCTGGATTAGTGTTTTCAATAGACTATGAAGTGTCAAGCTTTAACTTTCTACATTTACTAATTTAATTTCTAATCTTTCTTTCTTTATATATATATATATATATATATATATATTCTTTAAACAACACTGTCACACCTCAATTATATTTTTGTTTTTAGTGTCTAACCTTATCTAATTAATGTAAGGGGCAATTAATAATAATACACACGTAAACATTTTCCTACTTCAAATCAAAGTGACGACTATACCACAGTGACTATACATACAACCTATACAAGTCGCTTCTTACACGTCATATACACTAGAAAAAAAACACTCCACACACAGTACACTGCTGCAACACCCCTTATTTTTGGTCTATATAGCCAGATATTTACATATCATTTGTGTAGTACCTACACATAAACCACACTTCCCCTGTTTAGTTTCTCTGCCTTAAACAGATTCTCCAACCTCCTACCACCGCAACCATGTCGGTGAAAGACTGCAGCCACCACAAGGACAGGCGTAGGAAGCTCATCCGCCGCTTTTGCGCCGGCCTCCTCATCTTCAACCTCATCCTCCTCATCATGATTCTCCTAGTCTGGGCCATCCTTCAGCCCAAGAAACCCCGATTCATCCTCCAAGACGCCACCGTCTACGCCTTCAACGTCTCCGCCCCCAATTTCGTCACCTCCACCATCCAAATCACCATCTCCTCCCGAAACCCTAACGACAAGATCGGAATCTACTACGACAAGCTAGACGTCTACGCCATCTACCGCAGCCAACAAATCACCTACTACACCGGCATACCACCCACCTATCAAGGCCACAAAGACGTCAACGTTTGGTCGCCGTTTATTTCCGGTGTTAACGTGCCGGTGGCTCCGTACAACGGCATCGCTCTAAGTCAAGAACAGGCCGGTGGATCCGTGCAGTTGATCATCAAGATCGATGCACGGGTCAGATGGAAAGTTGGGACCTTCACATCAGGAAAGTACCGTCTCCACGTCAAGTGTCCGGCGTTTCTCACTTTCGGTAGCCAGACCACCGGAATTGTTGTCGGTAACGCCATTAAGTACCAGCTGGTCCAGAGGTGCGGCGTCAGTGTCTGATCCAGTTAATTAACGCCGTTAATTAACTATTGGCTTCTCTCTATGTGAGGTTGTTAATTTACGTATGTTTTGTTTTTTTAAAATATTTTCTGTTTATGTTCTGTAGTGGTATACCACGAGGGTGAAATTGTACATTTTGCTAGTGTTGAATAAATTTAAAAAGGAAATGAAAAAGGAAACAAATAGCAAAATTTACAACCTTGTTGTATGATCGATTTTTAAGTGTCGGTTATAAGAAATTTGATTTAATAAAAGTCAAGTGGCCGGTTCGTAGTTGTTGTGTCATTTTCATTCGGTTTCCATTGTAGCTTGCTTGCTGTTTACTCTTTCACGCACTCACACACATATCATATATAAACAAAATTGCAACCTTAAGGCATGGGCTTAAATTTGTTTAAACTTTTATGGTTTGCATGATTTTTTTTTTATAATTAAAAAAAAAAAATAATAATAATAATAAATGGCTGGGGGCAATAAGGTCAAATTGGTAAGGTTAACATGATGGTACTGTTTCATTGAATTGAAGGGTTAGTTATTAGTAATACAAATATTAGTTAATTTTGCGATTTTTCAGAAACCCTTTTACAAGGGAAAGGCAGGGATTGATAAAAGTATGTTATCTTTCAAAGTTATTAGTAAATTGAATATGAGTTGAGATTATTTCAGTTCATCACCACCAATAATTCACCAATATTTAATGTCAATTTTGGATGTATTCATAGCATCATCAACAACTGGTTTCTGATTTAAAAATTGAGAAATAACGTATAATATGTGGATGGAGGGTCATCAATTTGGTAGCCTACTTGGGTTGTCGTTTTGGGCGTCTTTTCAAGGTAAAAAATACATTAAACGACGTATATAACAACCCCAAAATTATATACAAATCAATAATAGTAGATGAATATGATAATAGAAGATGGAAGTGCATGTGAGTTGGAAATTGTAATTATTGAAGGGAGGTGTGGACATTGGACATTCAAAGTGTGTGTTACATCTTTCTCGCATGCCTTTGTGGTTGTCCTTTTCAACTCCCACCCTCTCAACCACTCATAATGGCGAGATACAAAAATGGTCTTTGAATTCTCTACAATTTTTTAATTAAGGGTGCGTGTGAGGGACACAGAGAGGGACTATTTATTCTCTAGTACGAAAATAAATTTAAAACATATCTATTTTTTCATATAAGTATATGTGAGACTATAAATGATTTTATTTTCCCTCTCATTAAAAAAATAAGCCAACTGGCTCTTCAACTCTGCATCGGTACACAATGTGTAATTGTGTTTTTAAACGTAATTCTGTTTAAAAAACAAGTCTTGCAAGAAGTGATTTGATTTGGTGGTGAATTTGGACATCATTGTGGGTGGATTGACAGGAGAGGAAAAGTAAAGCTAATGAAAAGCAACATGAATTTATTTGACTTGTGACCTTGAAATTGTCCACTTTGAGTGTGAATGAGAAAGTGACCGACACACCCTAAAATCTACGGGTAACGATAAACCATTTAGTTTAACATATAATCATTTTTGTGTATGCATGAAGGATTGAGTGTTCATTTGTATGTGTACCATCCATGTGACAAGACTAATCATTTTCAATCCGATTAGGTGGATTCTAATACGGAACCTCCCCCTGCCCCATTTAATATTTAATATTTATGACTAGTCCACACTCTGCAATATATATATATATATATCAAATATCGAAAAACAATGCTATGTTCAACGAAGCACATGCATCCTACATCGGTCCAAGTCTTTGTTGAAAATAATTATTGAATGGCTCATGGATGCGTTTGGTCATGTATAAAATGAATGCCACAAACGTCCATTAATAACATGTACGAGAAAAAATGGTTGACAGTATTTATTAGCAATAATTGGAGACATGGAAGAAGAAACAAGTAATGCCATATATTGTTTGGACAGGAATTAAGGTCTTGTTTAGTTTGTAATTATGAAAACAGTTTTTTGTTTTCGAAAAAACGAAAATAACGGTACAAATACTCTATTTAATTCAATTTTTTTAAAATTGTTTTCTTAAAATTCAATTGTAAAAAGGTTGATTTTCAAAGAACAGTTTTTTATAGTTCTCTAAAAACAGTTCTCAAGAGTTGCAAACCAAACATACCTTAGATTTCTCTGAAAATTTTGGTTGTCATAGTTCTATATTATTGAACAAGAGCGGGCCTGCATGTTGCTATAAGAAGCCTGGCCCAGGTTATAGCCCAATTGGACAAACAAGACTTACAATGCCATATGCTTTTCTTAGGGGAAAGTGAAACCCAATATTATCTTCTTTGGGGGAGGCTGGGCCTTTATTAGCTAGATGGGTAGAATCAAGAAGCCCAAATCATATCTTTCTGTTTTATATTAGATAAAACTAGGTGGTGTCTCGGGCTTCGCCCAACTACTCCTTAAGGACCCAATAAGTATGGCGTTTTATGTATAACGACCTTCTTTTAGCAAGTCACCTTGATATATGGTAAACATTTCCTACAAATTGGCTAGCAGTGAACCAACGTACATAAACATCGACGATATGCAAACACTATATATATATTGAAAAAAAAAAAAAACACTATATATATATATATATATATATAACCAGCATTGACAATATGCAGTGAGGGACCAGCTAAAGCTAAATAATATGGCCACCTAAAGCTTTAGCTGAATGGAGATCGTTTTCCTATGTATATATACACACACGTTCTTGTGACCAATTCAAACTCAATTACTTTTGTCATATGTAGCGCTGACATAAATATATAATATTACTTGTTATTGAAATCAAGAACTAGTGGTCATTAGAGGCATAATTAACTATATATTAACAGTCCATTTAATTAAAATATCTTATGAATATTTAAGATATCATCATTACAGAATTTGATTAAAAAGACAACAATATATATATATGGATCTATGAAAATCCTCCTAATTACTTCTTCTCTATTGGAGAGGATCCTAATCCTTTATACAATCACTGGGGTGTAGATAATAGCAGGGTGGTGCCAGCAATGTGGTAGGTTGAGCTCATCTCATTTGTTCCTGCAATTCTGAAAAGAATACGTCAATATTGGGTGAGTCATCAAATTAATTATTAAGTCTTTTCTTTTCCCGTACTGACGTTTAGGACATTGACCCAGTTCACATAATTGTCACAACATGAATCAACCTAAAAAAATAAAATAAAATAAAATAAAAAGGCCCCAAGTATTCAAACACATTATATTAAACCACCATGTTAAATATATATATACATATTAGACCACCTAAGTATATATCTTAACCGGACTTTCTTATTTGAAATTCCTGCATTGTTGGTTAATATGACTTGTTATTGCAATCACAACTTAATGTTAAAATATATTTTAATTAAGTTTTTTTTTTTTGGTAAATAAATTAAGTTACTTCTTTTGAAGACATAAGCTTCATTATTTTTAGGTACTTGGATTGTTAAATATTTTCTAAGTTATTTTAGGTTGAATTCACTACAAATTGACACGCGCTATTTAAAATCTATCTACTGCACTCTTTTGATTTAAGGAAAATTCACCATACTCTAACGACGTTTAACATCGCTATTTCTCCCTCATCTTTTCCAAAAAAGATAAGAAAAATTTACCAAAATTTAAAAATTGCACCTCTCTGATCGTCTTTGGCTCGGCATTCTTAATCAAAGCCTCTGCTTGAGCGGGGCTAACTTCGATGCCTCTGCGATTGACCACGTGTCCCAAAAACTGACCGGAACTCACACCGAACGAGCACTTGGTTGGATTGAGCCTCATCCCATATCGCTTCAGTACATCAAATACATCTTGCAGATGCTTCAGATGATCATCCTTCGTCCTACTCTTTACCACCATATCATCAATATAGGCTTCCACAATCTTTCCCATTTGATTCTTAAAAATTTTGCTAACAAGTCTTTGATAAGTTGCTCCCGCATTTTTTAGTCCGAAAGGCATAATTTTGTAGCAGTATGTTCCTCGCTCGGTTACAAAAGAAGTTTTTTCTTCATCTGCGGGGTCCATAGGGATCTGATTATAACCTGAATAAGCGTCCAGAAAGGTTAAACGCTCATACCCGGTGGTGGCATCCACCATTTGATCAATCTTAGGCAGCGGGAAGCTGTCCTTCGGACAGGCTTTGTTCAAATTGGTGAAATCAATGCATACTCGCCATCTCCCATTCTTCTTCTGCACGACAACGACGTTGGACAACCAATCAGGGTAGTGCACTTCTCTGATAAATCCCGCATTAAGCAGCCTATCGACTTCTTCCGCTATGATTTGATTGCGTTCTGGAGCAAATCTTCGCTACTTCTGTTTCACTGGTTTGAAATTGGGATTGACATTCAGGGAATGACAGGATATGGAGGGATTAATTCCAGGCATGTCTAGGTGACTCCATGCAAATACGTCGGCATTATGGGACAAGAAATCCACTAGCTCTTGCTGCTCTTCTCTGGTCAGTCTTATACCTACTCTGGTAGTTCGTTCTGGCCTGGATTGATCAATCTGCACATCCAGAAGGGGCTCTTCGGTCAAGTCAACTGACTCCTCCACCCTGTTCTGCTCAGGCGGAGGTTCCTGTAATTGCTATCAAGGGCTTGCCGATCGGACGGACGCCTTCCCTTTCCCAGCAGACTTTAGTGTGACGGAATAGCACTCTTTGGCTGCAACCTGATCCCCCCGAATGTCTATCACTTTATTTCCATCGGGTCCGAGGCACCTCATGACCTGATGCAGAGTTGAGGGTACACCTTAGACTCTGTGAATCCATCCTCTTCTCATCAGGAGATTATACGAGGGGTGAATTTCTACAACCACAAAAGTTTCCATAAGAGCTCGTTCTGCAGCTTGAACTTCTACTTCCACCATCCCGACGGGTTCCACCCTCTTGCCATCGAACCCTAACAGGGGATTTCCGGTGGGCTTGAGCCTCTCTGGTTTAATCTCGAGCCGATCAAATGTGTCCCTCGGCATGACATTCGCACTGCTCCCGGGATCGATCAGAACTCTGCGCACCAAGCAGTCCGCCACTGTTAAACTGACTACCAACGGGTCTTCATGGGGGACTTGAACACGCTGCAGGTCTGTCCTGTCGAACTTTATCTGCATCGACGTGATCTGCTGGTGTAGAGTATTCACACTGCTGACCCTTTTCTTCATCTGCGCCTGCCGTAGGCGCGCTCGGAGTAGCTCATCTGACTCTTCGCTAGACTCGGGTCGACCGTGGATAGCATTGATTATACGAACTGGTTGTGAATTGTAGGAGCTTTGTTTGTGACTCCTTTTTATTTGTTCCGCCGGTCGATTCTGCTCTATCGCCGAGCCTTGAACATAACTCGCGAACTCCCCTCTAGCTATCAACATCTCCACTTGCCTTCTCAAATTCCTGCACTCGTTAGTCTGATGACCGAAATCGGAATGGAAAGCACAATGTTTAGTCTGATCCCTCTGTTCGAGGGGTTGCCTAATTGGCAGTGGTGGATGAAACTTATCTTTGTTCTCCTGATATAGCCTCGCCAGAGTGACTTTCAGCGGAGTAATCAGCTCTTCCTCCCTGGACCTCTTTTCTGCCTTCCAGGAGGTCTGACGCTGCGGCTGAATTTGCTTCTGCCTGATCTTTGCCTTGGACTTCTCCTCGGTCGACACGAGCGACGCTGTCCGAGCATTGGCTGCCTCCTCTTCTTCTAGGCGCACAAAGCCGTCAGCTCTTTCATTAAGTTCATCCATAGTCGTCGGCGTGTTCACTACCAGACTGGTATGGAACGGAGTGCCACGTGTCATGGCCAACTTGAAGGCTTGAACCGCTGTAGAAGGGTGGCATTCGATCACCATACTCTTAGTGAGATTAAACCTGGTGAGAAAAGCCTGGAGACGTTCATCTTTGTGCTGTCTCATTGTGAATAGGCTTGAGATGTCCTTTGGCGGACGCTTGTTCCCATAGTACTGACTTATGAACTGATCGCACAGATCTCGGAAGCTACCAATGGAGCTCTTAGGCAAGTTCTTGAACCAGCTGAGCGCCGGTCCAGCTAGGCTTGTAGGGAAACATTTGCACATTAAAGCATCGTTTTCCGTATTCAGGGCCATCTTCAACTGGATATGGTACACATGATCGATCGGATCGGTTGTTCCGTCAAATAAAATAAACACTTGGCATAGCAAACTTCCTTGGATGAGGGGCATTCAGGATCTCGTCAGTGAATGGTGAATCAACCGTTCGAGCTGCGGATCGGAGCGCTTCATTCTCTCTTTGGCGGCCAGTGGTAGCTCTGTGGGCTACGGTTCTGCTCTCCGAACCGCGATGAGTGATTGTAGCCATGGAAGGCCGGTAGGACGGATCGAACGACCGTTCCTCTATGAGCTCTCTTTGCCAAGGCGACGCAACTCGGCGGCGATCAACCTCTGTCTCCTCCTCTCGGTTGAACCTTTCCTGATGTGGATCTAAGGTCATGGCTTCATTCTGTCTGATCTGCTCATGTCGCGGATCAACGTGAGTCGATCCTTCGTGATCCTCAACTCGACGAACATTTGGCGGCAAATTGTCCATCATCCTTTCATCACAGTGATGAGCTGACTGATTGTTCTCGCCCTGCTCGCCATGATGCGCGATATTAGATTGAACACCTCCTTCACCGACCGGAAGTGGATGCGAAACCGCAGGTATTTGCTGATGTTGCATTCCAGCTTTCAATTCTGCATTCTCTTTTTTGAGAGCTTCGATCAAGTTCATCAACTCCTCAAGCTTCGTTTGCTGGATAGCCTCCATCGGATTGGAGCTTTCACCTATCATTATTCCTGAACGGAGTAAAGGCATTAATCTCAGATTCGCGAGTAGATCTGAGCTTCGTGAGTGCGAATTTTTCAGATCTGGTTTTGAATTCTTCGAATTATGCTTACGGTTGACGAGATCTGAATTGTCCGAGTTCTAAATCTGTCAGATCCTGCCACAATCGAGCAACTCATTGTTGCGTTGTTCCGAAGCCACTTCCGCCAAAGCAGCAGGAACTAAGATTCTTCCAGAGTAGGTCACAATCGCTCAGATCTGGATTCAACTCCCAAAGATTGAGTTTCGTTTTCACCAATTGGTCTGAATCCACACGATATTGATCAGTTGATCAATCAATCTTCAACGCTTCCCACAGACGGCGCCAATTGAAGATGCAAGAAATTCATACTCTCTTTCTCTCTCTAGAATTCTTACATTTCAACAAAAAGATCTATCCCCCTTCTTTCCATTCCTTCTCCTATTTATAGATTTTTACAAATATTGACGGATTGCTGGATCTGGGCCTGTTCCTCCATAAGTCCTGGTCACCTTTGATAGGTTTATTCGCGTTCAGCCCATATGGCAGTGTCTTTTTATGGGCCGACCCAGCTATACGGACCGGATGTCGTGTTTGCAAGTCATATCCGGCCCATGTCATCCTGGGCCTCCTCAATGTTAAATATATATATACATATTAGACCACCTAAGTATATATCTTAACCGGACTTTCTTATTTGAAATTCCTGCATTGTTGGTTAATATGACTTGTTATTGCAGTCACAACTTAATGTTAAAATATATTTTAATTAAGTTTTTTTTTTTTGGTAAATAAATTAAGTTACTTCTTTTGAAGACATAAGCTTCATTATTTTTAGGTACTTGGATTGTTAAATATTTTCTAAGTTATTTTAGGTTGAATTCACTACAAATTGACACGCGCTATTTAAAATCTATCTACTGTACTCTTTTGATTTAAAGAAAATTCACCATACTCTAACGACGTTTAACATCGCTATTTCTCCCTCATCTTTTCCAAAAAAGATAAGAAAAATTTACCAAAATTTAAAAATTGCACCCTTTTGAATTAAGAAAAATTCACCATACTCTACCGAAGTTTAACATCGCATTTTTTGGAAAAAAATGAGAGAGATAGTGACATTAAATTTTTTTTATATCAAAATAGTATAGTTTTCAAACTTTTTTTAAATTAGTTGACATGGTTTAATATCAACAATAGATAAATTTTAAATGTCACGTGTCAATTCACAATAAATTCAACTTAAGATAACTTAAAAAATATTTAATTTAGAGAATTCAAGTCCTAATTTTAGATGTTTGTCACGCTCATCCATCAAGCTCTTCATTTCTTTTTCTGAATCAATAGTCTCCTCTTATATCTCTATGTAAAAGCCAAAATATATGGGAATATTACTTTTTGATTATAGGCTCATTGTCCACAATTTTTTTTTGGGAAAACCCAAAAAGACAGGTCCTCTGTAAATAATGTATTTCAAAATACTTATAAAATTTTATAGACTGCACCTAAAAAATAAAAATAAAGAATCTCTTTTAAATCATTTTAATCTTAAATTTGGAAGGAAAAAAAAGGGGATATTACGTATCTTATGTATATATCCCGTATGGCCCTATTCTTATTATGTTTTCATTTATTAAATTAGTGATTTATAGAATGCTTTTAATTTATCAATAATCTCTTTAAATTTCAAAAATCATGTTGTAAAGTGAAATAGTACTTTCTATATATATATATATATATATAAAATAGTATATTTATCCATGTGTATTTAATTAAGTATGAAAAGGAGAGCGGCGATTTAGTGATTGCCCTTAGAAATTACGAGGCACCATCATATTGTACACGTACACAAGCACAACCCTTGGAAGCAACCGCGTACATTCATTCCAAGTCGATACACACATAATAATAACGCGTCCACAGTGTATTACGTTCCAAATCTTCAAACGTGTTTTATAAAACAAAATCCGCTTACCTACTACTACTCTACACCCAATTCACCATTCCCACTCCATTATATAAAGAGTCACCCTCCCTCTCTCTTTTGTTATATATATATTGCCTGCCTCTCATATATACTCATACATACCTATTTTCCCAAAAACACCTCTCTAACTTACCTAACTTCAAACCATGGCTGATGCTAAACAACCCCACTTGAATGGAGCCTACTACGGCCCCTCCATCCCACCACCCCGCAAGGCCTATCACCGCCCCGGCCGCGGCTCCGGATGCAACCCCTGCACCTGCCTCTGCAGCTGCATCTTTAACCTAATCTTCCAAATCGTCTTCACCGTCCTTGTCGCCGTCGGCATCGCCCTCTTAGTCTTCTGGCTCATCTTCCGACCCAACAAGGTCAAGTTCCACGTCACCGATGCTACGCTCACCGACTTCAACTTCTCCACATCCACCAACACCCTCTACTACAACCTTGCTCTCAATATGACCATCAGAAACCCCAACAAGCGCATCGGAATATACTACGATCGCATCGAGGCTAGGGCTTATTATGAGGACCAGAGGTTTGATGCGGTGACGATGACACCATTTTATCAGGGTCACAAGATGACCAACACGTTGAGTCCGGTGTTTCAAGGACAGAACATGGTAATGCTTGGAAGTTCGGAGGTTTCTAAATATAATTCGGATAAAAGTGATGGAATATACAATATTGATGTGAAGCTGTATCTTCGGATCAGGTTCAAGTTGGGTGCGATCAAGACTCCCAAGTTCAAGCCCAAGATTGAGTGTGATTTGAAGGTTCCATTGCATTCTAATGGTACAATATTGTCCGGTACTTTTGAGACTACTAAGTGCGACATTGATTGGTAGTTTATATGCTGCCAATTTCTTCTCTCTTTCGTGGATCGATCTTAATTGGTTTATTATGTACACATGGATTACGATTTTCTGTTTTTTTTATTCTTGAGATATATGTATTATGTTGGAGTATATATATTTTAGTATCATCATAGTCATTGATTGTATGATTGATTCATTTTATTTTATTTTCGGCATACAGTATTGTATTTAAGTAGTGAATTTAGTATATATTTCCTTTTGTTGTGATTATATATATATGTGTGTTTTTATATATTTAATCGGTGGCCTTGGTTTTCCGTTTCGTCACTCTTGTTAGATAAGATATAGTGGTTGACTTTAAAGTATTGGACTTCTAAAACGTTGTTATCGAGCGAATAAATTATTGACGCATGGCAAATTTTTTTTTTTCTTTCTTTCTGCCAATTGATGAGGTATACAAATATAGATATGGATATCTATGAATAAAAACTCAGGCCAATGGAGGTACCATACAAACTGGAACAAATGCTGGTACTGTCTAGGCCACAGGCGCAATTTTAAGCAACCAAAGCTGTTGATGTTATCCCTAATCTCTGTTTTCTCATGTGGTTGATTTCTTTGTGTATGTTTGGAGAGACTTCAGAATAAGGATGGATTAATTTTTAGTGAGACAGATGGCACGAGTAGTGGGCCCTATCAAGATGAACCTTCAGTTTTTGAGATTTTTGGGCCGTTAAAAACTATTGTTCAATGTCTAACAAGTGTGTGCCTACAAGTTGCCACAGGTTGGAGCCCAATTACACAGGTTCCATTGCATTCTAAAGGAACAATATTGTCTGCTACTTTTGAGACTATATACCAAGTGCGACATTGATTGGTAGTCCAATTTGTTCTCTCCTTCGTGGATCGATACTCTTAATTGGTTTGAAGGTTCCATTGCATTCTAATGGTACAATATTGTCCGGTGCTTTTGAGACTACTCAGTGTGACATTGATTGGTAGTTTATACGCTACCAATTTCTTCTCTCTTCCGTGGATCAATACTCTTAATTGGTTTATTATGCACACATGGATTATGATTTTTGTTTTTTGATGGTATTGATTTTTGGGATATATGTATTATGTTGGAGTATATTTTAGTATCATCATAGTCATTGATTGTATGATTGATTCATTTTATTTTATTTTCGGCATACAGAGTTGTATTTAAGTAGTGAATTTAGTGTATATTTCTTTTTTGGGATCATATATGTGTTTTTATATATTTTAATCGTTGGTCTTGGTTTCCGTTTCGCCACTGTTTTTAGATAAGCTATAGTAGTTGACTTTAGAGTCCGTGGACTTCGAAAATTGTCAAGGCAATAAATTATCGACGCATGGCAACTTTTTTTTTTCTTTTTTGACAATTGATGAGGTATACAAATATAGATATGGGTACACGTAGTAATAATAGTATGAATACAACTCAGGCCAATGGAGGTACCATACCAAACTGGAACAAATCTTGGTACTATCTTGGGTTAAACAACCAAAGCTGTTGATGTTATCCCTCGTCTCATTTTTCTCCGTTGTTGATTTCTTTGTGTATGTTTGGAGAGACTTAAGAATGAGAATGGATTAAATTTTAGTGAGAAGTGGGCCCAATCAACATGAACCTTCAGTTTTTGAAACTTTTTGGGCCCTTAAAAATAACTATTCAATGTCTAATAAGTATGGGCCTACAAGTTGCGAAAGAAGAGACTGGTCCAGGTTGGAGCCCCAATTACGCAAACAATACTGATGAGACCAACCTAATTTTGCTTTACGTTTCGGTAACGAAACAATGCCGTAAGGTTTTCTCAGGAGTGATTTTGAAGCCCCATTTTCTACTTGGAGGGAGGTTGGGCCTGGGCCTAGGCCTTTGTTAGATAGATGGGTGGAATTATGGAGCCCAAATCAGTCTCTTTACTACATACAGCACGTTTTGTACATAAATTAATGAGATCCTTCTTTTAGCAAGTCCACGGTCCACCTTCATTTATGGTTAACATTTCCGACAGATTGGCTTGCACGGAATCTGCAACCCCAACTCAACTGAGCATGATTTCTAAAACAAAATAAGAATAATGACTCACATGGGACACTTGCAATTGTAATGAATTGTATATCTGAATAATTTTTAATTGGTTATGTTGAGACAAATACATGAGATTGAAGAAGGAAGAATTATTTGTGACTTTGAGGCGCGTAGTCACTTTCCCTAAGATGTTATTTGCCCCCACTCTCAAATAGTTTGTTATCGGGTTTTATAACAAAACACCTCCAGGATATAACAAACGCAATTAGCAATACTGAAAGAATTCCCTAAATACTCGTTGAAACAGAGAACAAAAAAAGTGAATCCAGGATGTGCAACACCAATCACTATTTATAGATTTCCAAAAGCTGCAAACCAAAAGTAACGTATCATCTGAATGGTTGCAACCTATTTAGAAGGTACAAACCAAAAGTCACGTACCATCTTCAATAGCCACCTTCTAGAAGCATAGTAGTTATTAATGTTGTTTATGTATCTCACATATATTACAATATATTCAACAATTCCCCAATATATTGTAATATATTAAGTATCCAGTCGATGTGATATTATCACGCATACAAGAAGGTATCTTTCGATTTAAACCTTCAATTAGTGTAAATATTTCAAAGTTTTAATGAAGAACAATGGTGGCCTTAGCTTAAACCAAGTCTCTTTAATATTAAAACCGAAAATACCACACACATGATTCTATCCAGTTTCTTTGAGATGTTCATATTTTCTTTAGCACTATTATGGTCATGTGCTCATCCTGGTTTCATGAACATTTACAAGAGTAAACCTTAATAACCCTTGCTAGAAGCGGAACCACTTCTTATGTTCACATAGGAAAAGTTCCAATATGCGTCCCTGCTACTATCGACACTTCAAAATTTTGAACTTCTTTAAGAGTATATAACTCATCCTCAAAATGTAGCAGTCTGCACTGAACATCCTGAAAGGGGTATTCATAATATAATCAGTGTTTAAACAATCACTTATCTGTAACTTGTTATTGCTCATTAAACTTTGGAACTATTGATGTTCTACAACATAGTCGGGTTACCAGTACTGGTGATTTTTTAAGAATAGGGTTTCATCCCTCATTCCACTAGATGCATTTTTTCACTAGATCTTGAGATTCCCATAAAAGAATTTACCAAGTCATGACTTCCAAAATATCATATTTAATTTAGTCGTTTGACGTTCTCATTTGTCAAACAAATGTGTCTATAGAATTTTCTTGTACTTTATACTTTCGTATAACTAACATAATGCAAAGAAATAGATGGAACCAGTTGTGGCCATAACTTTATTATTATTATTATTATTTAATTATAATTCTCAGTCATTCAATCTTCTTTGTGCGCCATTGTTAGTAACTCAAATAATGTAACATATAGTTCTTTTTCTTAGAAGTCCAAAAGACATTTCTCTTCAATATTATACTTCTTTTTCTTAGAAGTCCAAGAGACATTCATTTCAATATTTTCTTGTCTCGTAACTTTGCACAAGCATTCTCCAACTTTGCAATTTACATGCTCTAAGTTAGAGTACTATTACTTCGCACAAATAATCAAACTTTCAATGCTTTACAAACATGATAAATCTTGTAACTTTAAAAAACTACACTTACCCCTACACAAAAAATTACTCATTCACTATTATAGAATTAATAGTCAAGGGTGAATCATCAAATTCTTCGTAACATTTGATATAACAACAAAATGCTATCACAGAATACTCCCCCACAATGTACTGAATTTCATAGTTCACTACACCACATAGTGACTTTTTTTAGTTTAGAAATACTAACACCATTTTAGAGCCTTCATGGTTTAAAAGAACTGTTTCATTCAAAATACAAAACATTCATAATTGATTTGGGTCTTTGAGACCAACACTTATGGATGGTGAATCGCGTAAATTTAACTATACATATATATGTGTGTGTATATATATATATATATATATACACACATGTTGTCGAAACACACACACACACACAAAGATATATATATATATATATATATATATATATATATATATATCAGTCTTCTTGTTACCAACAAAGTTAAGAAAATAGAATAATTTATTCATGCCGAGTAATGTTCTATCCAATGTTACATATCTGGCATTGTCAACTCATGCTTCTGCATTGTATTCTAATTTAAATTCTAGACTTCTCTTTTAATAAACTAGAAAATAAAAGAGTTCTGAATGCAACAATTTTCTTTCACAAATTAAATTTATGCATCATGTTAATACCATATGTAAGTATTTTAACATATATAAAACTTATGTTCATACATAAATCTGAATGGGAGACATACCTAAAATATAAAATGACATATATAGTCACTGCAACCAGACTTTGATCTCACTTAACCTTAAAAAATCTGTCTAAATATAGAAACTTAATTAAAAATCAAATTCTAATGATATTTGAAACGTCACTTACCCTTGCACGCAAATTTGCAAAGAATATTTATGCTGCCACAAATTTCCTTCTTATAAATAAAATCTCAAGATTGTTGTAATACCCCTAATTTTAAAAAGGACTTAATTGGAATTTAGTTATTGTATTTGGTGTGCTTATGTGTCTATGTGTTTATGTTGAATCGATTAATTGTTTTATTTACGTGGATTGGTTGTTTAATTGATTTTTTTGTTTGCCTGTTTATTTGCACTAATTGACTAATTGTTATTAAATTGAATTGTTTGTTTAATTGGATATTTAATTGTATTTTTATTTTCTTTAATTGAATTAAGTTAGTTTTAATTATTTAAATGATTGGTTAGTTTATTTAAGTACGTTATTAGATTTAATTATTAGTGTTTCTAATTATAATGTTAAAATAGGGTTTTAGTCTTTTATGTCTTACGTCGACTGGACTAGGAGTTAATTAGGTTTTCCATCTCTGATTAGAATTGGACCTAGGGTTTTATTAGTGCCTATAAATACACTGTTATACGTCTTCAAAAGGGTTGAAAAAACCCTATGCACATACAGTGTTATATAGAGGAACAAAGAAAGAAACAGAGGGAAACTGAGAGGAATGAAAGCTAGGTTCAGGCCAGAGGGCTGAACCAAAGAGGAGGAGGAACAGGGGTTGGCTCGTGGGTTAA